ACGAACCGGTACCGATGCGGGAACAGTGGTGCGTTAGGCCATGTTGATTTAATTATATGGATGACATCCGCGCGCGCATGAATTTTCGGCCGTTTCCAAAAAAAAAAAGTTTTCAACCATACTGTAAATCGTACAAAACAGTTGCAAAATGAGCAAAAATATACCATAAGTTACAAAAACAATTAATACAAACTATACCAATGTCGTAGAATGCCAAAATCAAACGAAAAAGACGAAATTGTAAAGAAATGAACTTGAAGACTAGATTATTCGCCAAACTATATTCTGTGCCATTTGCTCAACCCTCATGACCACGTAGATTTCATAATGAAAATAACTTTTTTTTTTGTGCAAAACTTTTTTTGTATTCGCACGCGCGCATCAGTTTTGGGGCTCCCGGAGGATGTCATCCATATAATCAAATCAACATGGCCTTACTTCTGAAAATAAATGCCAATAACTTCTGCTTCCATTTTATTACGAAGACATATGATGTAACAAGAGATAATGTACAATTATATTCCTGTTATGATCTGTTTTACGAAGCTGGCAAGAGAGCCGTGCCGGCTGTTTTCCCTTGCCCTTCGACATTCTGACACACAAATACAAGGTGTAACACACACAAGTACACTGCGTAACACACACGTGGTGAACTGTGTGACGTAGTCTGAGGCAGGAGTCTATATATGCCCACTATAACCCCCTTTTCCTGACCACCTGATGCACTGATCAGCACATGTGACGTCGTAATCTTAGGCAGGTGCCTGTTCGGCCGCCCGACGGGTCCCGGTCAGTGAGGTTACGGCGTCGCTTCGGCTTATCTTGCCGGACGGGGCCCGAAGTGATTTAAGTTTGAGTTAAAATCAATTCGGCGACCATCTGATGCACTGGTCTCCGGTCTCCGTCCAGGTCCCGTTCGGTAGTGCCAAAAAACAGGCCGAACACGCGCCGATCGGGCCCCTTTCTTCAATTGTGACCTAGGCTTAGCCTCCTTTCCAGGCGTTCCCGGATCGGCCGTTTTTTTTTTTTGGGTTTGGGGTGGGGGGGGTGGATATCCACGGAGATATATGTAGGGTTGCCAGCCGGAGCTTCTATTGCGTGCGATCTACGTTTGATCAGAATTTGTGCAATTGATTCACATTCTTCTGAACTTTCTCAATTCTTTAAAAACAGTAATAAAAAGAATTCTTATTAAGATAAAACAGGACAGAACTACTAGGTGGCCTTATGCCATATTCAAAGATCTGCAAACAAAACAGAATCATTTTATTGTGGACTGTTTTTTTTCCTGCATACAATACCCTAACTGTTCATCTGTGTCATACCATAACTAGTATACAACAGATCTTTCAAGAACAAAGTGACGTCTAAAAGGAGCATATCGGTACTTCATGACTTGGTGTTTTGGACCTGTGCCTAATTGATTTTTGCGGTAGTGCGCCGTATGGTACAGGTACACAGAACCGGTATACAGCCCTAGTACAGACCTCTGTAGCAGGCTAAGTTATAGAACTGGGGGTTTGGTGGTCTTCAGCTGTTTTCTGATTAGCCCAGTTCTAACGGGGGTAATTCAACCAGGCCGGCTATGTTGTCTATATGCAATCAGAAAATAGCACATAAAAGCTCCTGAAGACCCCCAAACCCCCCAGTTTTTGGCATGCTATGGAGGCTAAAATGGAGATGCGCAGCAATCTGACAAGTAGAACATGGTTTGTTTATTCAGTGGCGTGAATAAAAAGACAGTCAAGATAATCAGAGAAAGTAAATTAAAACACTATCCTACATATAATTTCTAATCATGGCTGTTATCTTCAATTTTGAACTATATGTACTGACATATCAAAAGCTGAAAATTATTCAACATTGACAAGCACAAATTTCTAAAAAAATTGGGCATATCAACTGGGACAATACAAGCCCATCAAGTCACATATCTCCTCTTGTATTGTCCGAGTCTTTGACTGTTGATGTTTTCCTGGGATTTCATCAAGAAAGTCTGGCCACATTAATACTGTCATTGTTCCTTCTCAGTGACCTATATTGTTGCAGGACTGTATAAAACGGGCACATTATAAGTTTTCAGAAAGTAGCAGATTACAATCCAAGGCAAGTTTGACTTTACAATTAATAAGAGGAATCGCTCAAGCCACAGTTTGGGTTGCTACTGTTTAAAAGGGATGGTTGGCCACAGTTTGGGTTGCTACAGTTTGAGAGGGATGGTTGGCCACAGTTTGGGTTGCTACAGTTTGAGAGGGATGGTTGGCCACAGTTTGGGTTGGCTA